AATGCAGCACGGGCTGGCTCCGATATCTTATCGCTCTGGGATCTCGCGCTGCAACCAAAAACGAATCTCCGCGACCACCGCAGGCGCGAACGGAGCGAACAGTGGGGCTGCACGGCGCCTTCTGATCTCAAGCACGAGACCAGCCACGCGCGCTACTGCGCGGAAGACGACCGCGAGCAGCCGCGGAAAGACAATCTGACAGCTGCACGCGACCAATTCGTCGGCGCCAGACCTGACAATACCGCGGGAAGGATCCTCGATCACAAATCGAAAATGGCGCAGAAACGGGCGCGACAAGATGGCGCAGAGGACCCCACGAGCGGCGCGCCCTGCGACGACGCCTAAAGCAATTACGAAGAGATACTTCTCAACGCACGAGATCCGCCCAACGCCATCGACGCAGTTGCAAATGAGGCGGAGGAAGACGAGCGAGGGAGGCGGCAGGATCTACCCCGGCGACGCCAAGGGGAACGCCCGTCCGAAGTCAAAACTAACCACGAGAAAAGCCCTGGGTGACAGCGCCGCCCCGACGCCCAGCAGCCCTCGAGGCCGCGTCGAGCCCCCAAAAATGCAACCCGAAATTTCTCACCGGCATGGGACCTCGCTTGGCTTCGCCCACGAATTTAACAATTTCCTGGACAGTCCGTGGAAGCAGACGACAATCAAGACTCATGCATCACTGCTCCTCAACCCCAGCGGCCTAGGTTGCGACGCCTCGCGGCGAGTCAATTCGCCAGCCTGGCCCCCCACCTCCTTCGGGGCCCAGGCGCCGACGAACTGTCTGCGGCGGCTGCGTCAATTTCTCGCGCGCCAAAACCAGGGGCCCAAGCGCTGCCGAGACTGTCCGACATATCCTCTGGACTGGCGATGACGTCGCCCTGAAACTTCAGCCCCTGGAGGCACTACTTCCGAATCGATCGCACTCCCGGGCCCCCATCGGCGCCCGAGACCTCGGATCCGCATGTCTCAGCATGGCGCGAAGCTGCGAATGGGAAGGGTCCGATATCTCCGACCGAGCATGGGAGCAGGCAGATGCATTCACGGGCGCGTTGAGCTCGTCGGTCAACGCCAGAGACTCTTCGGGCCCCGCGAGCTAAACGCTCTGTTCGTCAGGGACGATACCTGCGAATCGGCGGCCGAGTTCGCGAGCTAATCCGAGGCGGCAGGCGAGAGCGACGCCGTATTTCCGCATGGCTCGACCGATCGGTTTCGCGACCATCCATCTCGTTCGTTATCATCGACGTCGCATTCTCCAACGTGGCGGCATCTCTGGCGGCCCGAGCGGCCCCTCTCATCGCCGCTTCGTGGAACTCCGAAAACAGCTGCGCACTGAGGTGGGAGACGCCCACCTGCTCAAAAACAGACTTGATAAAACCACGGCAATCTGCTCACTTGTGACCTCGGGGCGACTGGGGCGCTCAGACGGCTTCATTGGCCCCCTGGCTTCGGCGGCGAAGACGACAGCGGCGCGGTCTGAGAGTTCGCGCGGCGACTGACCTCAGGGCCGCCGATCACGCGGGCGGCGCCTGATAAGTGCGCAAGGGACCAGCCAAGGAGCGAGCGCAAGATCCTGTCGATGGCCGACAGGAACAGCTCCGATCTGCAGCAACGCGTCGGTTCGGGAACCTCAAAATCGACCGACGCGCAAGTGGTGGATATCCTGTCGACCCCATCATCCCGACGCCATTCCTGGATGGGTCGGGCCCGCCCCCGAAACCCGAGCTCAGGGAGGCCCGCGGAGAGCGCGCTCGGGGGCCGGCGGCGCCCTCGCAAAGTTGAAGCCCCCCCAGGCGAAAACGATCCAGCCCATGGGGCCTTGATTAGGGGGCCACATGCGAACCCTACCCCTACCCCCCCTCAAGAATCGTGGGGGGGTAGGGGTAGGGTTCGCATGTGGCCCCCTATTGATTGGACAACCTGATGTCGTCCAAGATACATCTACACAGCCGTCTCCGAGCCCCTGGAGTAATCCCAAAACTGTGCATGTTGCAACTGGGGGCGCTGAGGCCAGCAGCGACTTGATGGAGAGCCCCAGGGCCCGACCTACGATGGGGGCCTCGAAGATGATCGCGGGGGGGGGAGGGGTGCTCGAGAAAGCCGAAGTCGGGGAAGGAAGTGACGACGCCGCCAGCAGGGCGCGGGCACGGCTGAAGGAAGGATGAGACCGCGCAGCGACGCCGACGGCGGCGATACATGAGGTCTCGCAGCTCGCGCTCTGAGCCGCGCGCCTCTTGCGCACCAACAAGAGACCCAGGGGGGAACGCGCGGTCGAGGAGGGTGAGTTCAAATAGGGCACAGAGCTCAAATCGGAACAGGGAACGGGCATTCAAGCTGCCTAGGGACAGCGGCAGCAGCTTGCCAGACCCATCGGCCCAGCGCCTCCAGAGCGCGCTACAGACGCCACTGCGGCGCGGCCTCTGGGCCAGCCGCCGCGCTCGAACCGAGCGGCTCCATTTGCTGGATATCGAAGCCCAACTTCTGCAGCCCAGCTCGGCCCCGCTCAACCTTGGCGGAGGGCCCTTCACGAGCCGTGAGCTAGCAGAACGCGATCCTCGTTGACAGAAGTGCGTCGCCTCCTCGATTGACTTCTTGGCCCGCTTGAGCGCGCGAGCTCCCGCTCGCGGCTGCCGATCTTGAGCGCGCCGCTGACCGCGTGGACCCTGCGCGCCGCGATGGACGGCTCGCCTCTGATCCGAATCGTGAACCTCTCCGACGCCTCATCACCCTCGATCGCGACACCCTCCGCGGACAAGTTGACCCTTGCGAAACAGTTGATGGCATGATGGGCGTGTTTTCCACCACCACCACCATAAGTTGAAAGGGGAGGATGTAAAGGACGAGGACGAGGAGGAGGAGGAGGAGGACGAGGAGGAGGAGGAGCAGGAGGAGGACCCCCTCCCCCTCCAATTTACGGTGGTGGTGGTGGTGGTGGATAACAGGCCCATCATGACAGCCGCACTGACCTTCTACTTTGTCACAAGCGTCGCCGTGCCAGCCACGATGGTGGACGGGTCGACCTCTCTCTCTCGAATCCGGCCGATGGAAGCACCTCCAGAGGCGGTTTTTCATTCGTGAGGAACTCGAGATACCTGCTTCGCGCTGATGTCACTGAGGTGGCCCACAGCGCTGGGTCTGACTCCAGCTGCCGAGACAGCGACGAACATGATGCGTGCACAGTGGTGGCCAGCCCCGCGAAACTCTCCTGTATCTTGGCGATGGCCTCGAGCAGTTGAGCCTTGATGTTGTCCACGTAGCCCTTGACGTCGCCGTCCGCGGATCCTCCACCCGGCTGTTGACCTGCAGCACGTTGATTACCAGCGGCCTGTCCTTCGGCAGCTCGATGGTGCCGAGCACGATGCCCACCAGAAGCACGACCAGCCTGAAGATGGCGGGCACGTCCTCGCCCGCAGGGAACTTCGGCGAAGAGCTCCTGTGACCCTCAACCTTGGGGGTGCCGGGCAGCGTGGGAACTTCTTCCATGGCCACCGCGAGTCTCGCCATCTCATCCCCATTCATGGGCACACACATATTTCGCGCGCTGCGCTGGCAGCGGCACCCGAAAACACGGCTGCTGGGAAGAGGCCAAAAGGAATCCCTCGGCGCTCGAGGCCTCCCGAGGGGATCGCGGTGGGCAGGCCGTGGGCGCTCGCCCCAAGCAATCGGGCCGATCGCTACGAAGGGGTCCGAAGCGAATCGCTGATTGTCGGACGCCTATGGCCCTTCACAACGTCTAGCCTTGAGACAACATGGCTACGGATGTTTTCCCTCTCCTCCTGCTCCTCCTCCTCCTCCTCCCTCCTCCTCCTCCTCCTCTTCCTCCTCCTCTTCCTCCTTTTCCTCCTCACCATCCTCCTCCCCACCGCGCGGACGAAGACGAGGTCAGGATCACGACCCGCCCTAATGCTGACTACTCATCGGAGTTGCGCTGCCCCTACACTCGGTGTCCTTCCTGCTGCGCTGTTGCACAGGCACGGTAGCGGGGTGTGCCGCGGGCAGCTGGATATAACTAGATGTACTTGCGTGAACGGTTATATGCGAATACATACCTGAAAACAAATAGGCAAGTACGAATGGGGATATTTGTGTGTAGCTAAATGTATATAAAACAAATCCTTCTACATGCAAGCGTGATCACATTCTTGCGTTTGTGTACACATAGATATGTACAAGTGTGCGTCTCTCCCCGCATCTGCACATGTAGAGATTACACACACAGTGCTTGCCCTTAGGATATCATACTAATGGTCTATGAAACTGGGCTTGGGTAGCCGTCTGGCGGCTGTGTTGTCGCCGTCGCCGCCCCGTCGACGCCTCGTCGCCGCCCGTCGTCTGGGACTGGTTGGCGGTGCGGCGGCTATGTTGTCGCCGTCGACGCCCCGTCACCGCCCATAGACTGCACCACCTGGGTGGCGCCACATAGATTGCACCACATAGAATGAAACACGTAGATTGCACAACATCGAGTGCACAACATAGATTGCAACATGCTGTCTGTGCTACGTCGACTGCACCACGTAGGTTGCACCGCAGAGATCGCACCACATACATTCAACCAAATAGAATGCACCACCTGTGTTGCACACCATCGGTTGCTCTACCTATAGTGCATCGCAATAGATTACACCGCATGGATTGCACCACAGATATTGCAGCCCATATAGGGCAGCCCGCGAAGATTGCACAACACACATTGCACCACATGGAGTGCACCACGTCGATTGCACAGCCCATGATGCGCACCACATAGGTTGCACCAAATAGATTGCACCCCATCGATTGCACACATCGGTTGCACCACATCTGTTGCACAGCATTTGTTGCACCACATGAATTGCGCCACACATGTTGCACCACATAGCATGCACCACAGAATTCTCGCACAACATATATTCCTAGAAATACACACTTTGGAGCCCACGCCCGCTAACATGTACAGCATGCCCCATCCTCCATCCTCACCCTGTTCCTCCCTCAAGACCCAGCAAAGAGAGAACCCCAGCGGTCCCACAAACTTCGCGGTGGGCTTGACTCTCCTGGGGCGCGGGAGTGGCTTTCAGACGCTGGCGGTTGGAGGGACGAGGACGGAGAGCACGAGGTGCCAAAATCCCATCGGGACCCAATATCTGCCCGAACGCGAAGCAATCCCTTCAGAGCCCCGACTCCGACTTTTTGACGTGAGCAACATGTGCCCTCCATGCACTAGAGTTGTGGGCGAAGCTGGCGAGGGGCAACCCAGGAAGCCTTACTCACTCGGAGAATACTGGACGAACAGAAGGAGGAGGAAGAGGAGGAAGGAGGCGGAAGGGGGGAAAGACTAGGACGAAGAGGACGATGAATGCCCCCGAAATCGATGGAGTTCGGTCGAAGAGTTCGCCATACCCCTCCTATTATTGACGAAGCGGAAGACGCCGTAGACCAGGCTGACGACCAAGTAGGCCACGAGTAGGCTGAGCCACGCCCATGCCATAAGCCTGTGGCCGCACGAGAGGGACGGGATGTGGGAGGGAGGAGGGATCAGAGGAAAGGGAGGAGGGAGGAGAGCACGAGCACAGGGGGTAGGAGGACAAAAGCGAAGCGGAGAAGGAGGAGAAGGAGGAACTCAACATGGAAGCTTCAAAACCCGCCGTCGCAGCGCAGGAGAAAGGGGACGAGGTGGAACGAGAGAAGGAGGCGGAGGAGGAGGGCGACGAGGACGAGGGGGAGGGCGGAGGAGGTGGCAGGAGGGGAAGAAGAGGAGGCCTTTGAGGGCTCTGCTGAGACCTTCCTGTCCACAGGTGGCTTGCGCGCGGGCCGTGGACGCCCGAGCCAACACCTCGGGCATCCGATGCCGATGGGCCCAGCCACGCTGGCCCCAACCGGCCCTCCGCGGGTATGCCGTCCTGGCCGCGCAGGGGCCGTGGGCCCCCCCAGGCCAAAAAAAAGAAAAATGCTCCGCGCCCGGGCCTTTCGAACGGGGGGAGCCCGAGCTCGCGCTGGGAAGGAGGAGGAGGAAGAGAAGGGGCAAGGGCGCTGCGCGACGGTCTCCGGGCAGAACGTTGCTCGAGCCATTCCCGAAGGGGCCCTGAGACACACAAATAAATACACACAAATAAAAGGATTCCCCATATTTTCCCATATTTTCTGGGTTTTTGTCTTCCCCCCCACTTCCCATATTTTCTCATATTTTCTTGGGAATCGACGGTTAATTGTGTCTTGTGTTTTTTTCCCTCCTGAATTCCGGCAGAGGCGACGGAGGGGCTCACCGAGCGGCGGCCGAGGCCCAGCCACCTCCCAGCCACCAAGCGGCCTGCTGCCTGCCGAGCCTGGCAACCCCTTTCGGCCACTGGGCTAGCGGCATGCATGTCCGAGCCCAGTAGTCGGCGGGGGCTCGATGCCAGGTCAAACCTTATCAAAGCGGAACTCCGCCATGTTGATCAAAAACTGAGCTTCGGGCTTCCCAGAATCATCCAAACCACCACTGGGCGCCTGAGCGTAAGGCTTCGTCTCAGCGGAGCCATTTATAGGCTGGCATCTTTTATGAATGATCTCCCTTCCTTCCCTTGGTGAGCGCGTGGTCCGACCCTCCGCCATCAGCTCCGCGCTCCACTTTGCCACAACAATTAAAGTTACGGGCGAGCCGCCGCCGCTCTCTTCCATCTGTTCCTTCGAGTCTCCGATGGGGGTGTCGTTTTGCGCGGCTGCGGCTCCTCCTGCATCTCCTTCTTTTTCTTCTGCGAAGCGGAGAGACTTCGGAGTTCCTCCAGGTGGCGAGCCTCCCCCTCCTCCAAGGGGTTGAGGTCCTCCTGGATGCATTCACTGCCTCCGCAGTGCCTGGGGCGCCCTCATGCTCGGTCGGTCTCCTCATTGGCCTGAAGGCGCTGCAGGTCAAGGACACCATGGGGAGCCATCGCGCCGCAGGGTCTTGCGCTCCGAGCGACAGCGGCAACGCCGGGGGCTGCAGGTCCGCGCCCCGATCTTCACCGCACGGGCCTTGACCGGTTGGGCGGTGCTCTCGATGCTGGAGTTCAGGTCCTCGCTGGGCCCCGCGGCCTCCAGAGAGTGCTCTTGAGGGGCGCCGCTGGGGATCTGGCCCCTGCCGCTGCTTGGCCCAGACTGATCCCCCCACGCGGCGTGGCTGGACTTCTTGTCCGCGCTGCTGAAGTAAAACTCCAGCACCCCTAGCTCGTCCTTCATGGGGCCATTGAGTTTCTGGCCCTTGCTGCCGCAATTGGATTGGCGCCCTCAAGCTAGCTCTCCGCCGAGGCGCTGGGGCTCGCGTCGCTGGCAGACCCCTGGCCCTCCAGCTCGCACTCCTGAACGGGCTTGCTGAAGAACTGATCCATGCTGCTGCGCCGGGCCCCTCGGCCTCCAGCTTGTCATCCGCGGGGCCGCAGAAGATATCATCTTGCCGGTGGGATTAGCGCCGAAGTCCAGCGGGGAGACGGCGACGGCCCACTCGCCCTTGACCTCGACCCCCCTGGGCGGCGCCCCGAGCCTGAGCGCTCGCACCGCTGTCTCCTGCGCCAGAGACGCACTCTCGGCATTGAGCATGAGCCGCCAGCGGTGCCGCGACGCCTCTCTCTCTCTCTCTCTCCCTCTCTCTCTCTTGTTGTTTCTCTTTCTCTCTCTCTCTCTCTCGCTCTCTCTCGCTCTCTCTCTCTCTCTCTCTGTCTCTCTCTCTCTCTCTCGCCCTCTCTCTCTCTCTCTCTCTCTTCATAATTATCCCCGACGCACTCCGACGCCTGCCTTCTCGCGACGCTGTTGCTGTTGAAAACCATCCAGAAAGCCCTCTGGGGTATTCAGCCAAGCCAGCGAACGCGTCAACCTCCACGGCCGATCCCACGTCGCGACAGATGTTCGCGAGGCGCTCACTCACGCGGGCCCGCAGGAACAGGTTGCCGCGGACGTAGAGCCGCAGCGCCAGGGGGCCACGCGGCCCGCCAGCGCGCCCCGCCGCCCAAGCGAAGTGCCAGCCACTCCCGCCCACTTGCACCGAGAGGAGCAGCTCGAGCCAAAACGGCCACGGAGAGAGAGGAGGTGGAAGAGGAGGAGGAGGAATTAAATTCCAGGGGGCGGTTGGCGGCAAGAAGAAAGCACGGCGGCAATGCGGACCCCCCCCCCCCCCCCTTGCCATCTCAAGCGCACGCGACCCGGAGTTGCGAGCCCAGACAGCAGCGAGGCACCCCATTCGACTCGGGATCGCGCGGGCGATCCGGCAGCTCTGGCGAAGCAAAGGGAATGAGAAAGAGGGAATGCCAGACCTGTCCAGCCCCCGCGCGCCCTCCCAGTTCGCACAGCGCACCAGGCTGCCACCAGAGGGGCGCGCGCCGGGCGCGCCGGTGCGGGTGCTCACCGACTACACTCAGCGAGCACGCTCGTGCAGGCGCGAGGCAGACTGTCACGCGCTGCGTCTACGCACGCGCTAGGGCCGCGCGTCGCGGTCGAGACGACCGAGGAGGCCGAGCGGAGCTCGGCGCGGTGCGACGCACGGCCCGCAAGGATGATGGGACGGGAATGCGGCGAGACCTCGGACTGGTAGACTGGAAAGGGGCGAGAAGGTGGAGGTGTTGCTTGGGGGGGCGCGGCAGACGATGTTCCGCGCCTCGCATCGCGGCTCAGTCCACGCCCCCGCCCCCCCCTCCTCGTCGCCCCGCACGAGCGCGGCGCGTGGGCGGTCCGAGCCCGCCCCGGCGGCTTCCGCGGCGGACTCCTCTGCGCCCTCGGCGGGCACCTCCTCGTCGTCCCTCTCCTCGCTGGAGTCGGGCTGGCGTCGGCGGCCTTGTCCGTCTTCGACTTGAATGCTGCCGCCCGCCTCGCGTCCCGCGCCTTCTTGCTCGCGAGGGCACCGCTGCGCGTTTCCTCGGGGCCTCTGCGGGCGCGACCGCGGGGGCCTCCGCCGCCTTCTCCCATACCTCGCCACTTTCCACTGCGGTGCTACCACTTCCACACAGCGCCGGCCGCGCCATTTCTCCCCGACTAGACACGCGATGCAGATACAGCAACCGCGACGGCTCTGGTCTACATGAGATCCCACATGGGATCTGCAAACGAGAGATGGGGAATATTATATGAATTTGGTCAGGCCTGACTGGGGCACAGCGGTCAAGCATGTCGGCGATGGTTGTCCACCTCGGCGGGCTTGCTTTCATGACCAGATAGTACGGCGGGCTTGGCCGCAGCGTAGAGGATGACGGCATGTGGAATGTGTTTTCTCCTGCGGTAGCCCGCTAGAGACAGAACGGAGCGCTGCACGGTCGACGCAGCCGTTCGCGGATCCATCCGCATCCATGTCGCCGGCATGCCCCAGAGCCTGAAGCCGTCCAAAAAGACATGGCCACCCTGGAGCACGATCGACGCACCCACCCCCTCAACCCTGACCTCAGCGGACGGGCCCCAAGGTTTCCGCACCATGAGCTGAAAGGGGGCGGGAAGGATACCACGAGCAAAAAGCCAACGGAGCTTGAGAGAACAGTGCGAGTCACGCGATGCCGCCGCTTTGACCTCGGGAGGAAAGTCGCCCCTGCGCCAAGCATCTCGGGAAGGGCAGCCAACGTTACTACGAAACGAATTGCCCTTCGCACCGCGCCAAAGGCAGTGATCCGACAGCTGGGAATCGTGCTGGTTGGATCTAGACCAGCATCAGCGCGACCCATTGGATCCACAAGGCCCAGTCGCTGCACCGGACTCACCCCCACCGCTTTCAGGAGCGACCTTGCGGCGCAGAAGCTCACGGAGAGGCCTCCAACAAATATCCGCCGACACTTCGGCGCGTGCGAGACGCTGTCGCCGTCTTCACCGTCGTCGTCGTCGTCGCCGCCAGCCGAAAAGAAATCTTCAAACGAGCATAGAAAAGAAACGCCGTAGTTAGGTCGATTCCCTCCCGTTGTCCCCCTCCCGGACGGGGGGGGAGGGGACGAAGGGGGGCCACGGGGGGATCGGGGGCGGGGCGGCACGGGGGGGGAGGAGGGCCGGGTCAGATTACCGACCCCCTCCCCCCTCCGTTGTCCTGGCGGCCGGCCCTCCCCTCCCCTGGCCCCCCCGTGGTCAAGGAGGACATGGGGGGGGGGCCCCCCTGCGGGAGAAAGGATCCTGGAAAGGGGTGGTCCCTGGGGAAGTCCCGCCCGTGGTGGGAGAGGGTCCCAGTTCAGAATGCCGCCCCCCCCCCCCCTCTCGGGCCCAGGCGGGGCCCGGCGGGGGGGGCGCCAGCGGGGGCCCCCGGGGAGGTCCCGCCTTCATGGTCGGCGGCACAGGCCACCGGGCCTTCGCTGTCAACTCTCCGCGCACGTCGGACGAAGGAGGGAAGACAGAAGCGGAACGAGAGGGGGGGGGAGGAGGAGCAGGAGGGAGAAGGACGAAAGGGAGGAGGAGAAGGAGGAGGAGGAGGGGGGAAGGGCCGACGCCACGTGCGAAGCCACGGGGGCCGCCGAACAGCCAGTCAAGGGGCGGCACAGCTATCAAAAATGGCAGAACATGCCGACAGCCCGGCACAGGTCGAGCGAGCGCACAGGGATGAAGGCCTCATCATTGCTGCTCACAACCTTCCTCAAGCGCCGTTGGTGGCTCAAGAGGAACTGCGGGACTGCCACATTCACGGACGTCGAAGGACGACACCACAATCTCATCGTCATCCACGTGGACGCGGAGGCGCATCTGTTGTTTCTTGGGGACCACTCTGACAATACGGCCAACTCGTCCGATAGCTCCTCCCTCCACGATGCGCGCGGTCCGCCCCAGGACCAGCCTCAGCTCCCACTCATACGTCTTGCCATCCTCTGCGATGCTCTGCTCCACCTCGTCGTAACCCACACCGTCGGAAAGCCAGGCGATTTCACACCACGGTGCTATCCGCGCTAGCTTCTCGGGCCTCACATCCACAATCTCTCACCAACGGCTTCTTCTTTTTCTTATTATTTTTCTTCTTATCATTATTATTCTTCTTCGCAGGCGTCGGGACTTGAAGACATGTGGCCAGGATCTCGTTGAAAATCAAACCAAAAAGAGCTGAGAGGGCGAACTTTGCAGAATTGGTTCCTAGCCTCTACATGCTTGTGGGCACGAATGATTCTCACCATTGCACAATGCAATACGCTCAGGAGACCTACGACACGAACACAGCATCCGACGACGCGGTCAAGCTCCCAGCCTTGCTCTCGACAAAAGGGGCCCACAGAAGGCTCAACGGGAAGTGAAGCAGGAAAGGCACCTCGGTCAGACTGCTCTCCATGGTCATCACCACGACGGTTTCCGACAGCAGGGCGTATCTCCAGAGCTCGCAGTAGCATGTCGACATGGACCTCCGCTCCGGCAGGCTGCAAATCTGGTGCCCTTTGTCGAAAGGGAAATTCGGGATGCAGGGTAGTTCCTACGCTTAGGTTCGGCAATAGCGACTGCATGCGGTCCACCGCCATATCGGGCGAAGAAACTCAAACACAAAAAAAACTCAAACAAGTTCTAAGCCAAAACCTGCGGAAATCTCAAACTCTAAAAAAACTTCAAAAGATCTCCAAACCAAAACCTGCGAAACTCTCAAACTCTGAAAAAAAACTTCAAGAAATCTCTGCATCAAAACCTTCGGAAATCTCAGTTAAAAAAATGCAAGAAATCTCTAAACCAAAACCTGCAATAATCTCAACTTCTTTTATTTTTATATATAATTGTATATATAATATATATATATATATATATATATATAGTATATAAACAAAAAACAAAAAAAACAAAAACAACATCCAACCAACTCTAAGCCGAAACCTGGGGAAATCTCTCTCTCTCACACACACACACACACACACACACCAAAAAAACCGGAAAAAAACAGTATAACCAGAAGTTCTGGGAAAAATCAGAAAAAAAACGCCTAAAACGTTATAAGAAATCTAGAAACGCCCCCAAAGCGAACTCTACACGCCGAAAAACTCAAAAACCTATTTAAAGACAGCTCTGAAAAATCCTTAAAAATCTCAGAAACTCTTTATGACCGCCTGGCGAACTACAAAAAAAACGTTGGAAACACTTGAAAAAACTCTAAATGCAAACTCTGGCTTAAATTGTGAGGTTTTCGCAGGTTTTGGTGTTGAGTGTGTTTGTAAGTTGGTTTAGAGTTTGAGGTGTTCGAAGGTTTAGGCATAGATATTGTTTGAAGTGTTTGTTGGGTTTGAGATGTTCACAATGCTTGCCTTAGAGATTGTTTGAAGTTTGTTTAGAGTTTGAGATTTCCGCGGGTTTGGGCTTAGATAGTGTTTGAAGTTTTTTTGGGGTGAGTTTCTTGCTGAAGATGTTCCGAAGATTTCGGCTGGTTTTCTCGATGGACCTCCTGTAGCATGCTTGCCGAACCCAATCATATGCTCCTTTTCCACCATTCCAGGATCTGGGAGCCCCTGAGCAGCACCATCAGCTTGAGAATCACCATCAAGGCGGCGATGACAATGTTGCCGCCGCTTTACCTTCCGAGGTGCGGGGGGAGAAATGGCCGACCATGGGTCTCCTCCAGGCCCATGCCATTTGGTGGACATGACCGCTAAGAATGCCCGCCACCGTCTCCGTCATGCCGATCACCGTGCACATTACCAGCATGAGGCATAGGCACATCCGTGATCAGGAAGTCGACTCTCGAGTTCCCATCCGAATGGCCGATGCTATCGACCCGCCACACGTTTCACCGACGCAGCCTCCTCGGGTCACTCCAAGTCAGAGACTTCGGAAGGTGGGGCACCAGCAGCCACTTGCACATCAGGGTAGACAGGCACGACCACCTTCTGTACCCAGGTCTGCTCATGCGTAGCACAGTTGGTCACCAACTTGCAGCCAGCGTGGAGCTGCGCCCGCAGGAAAGCGATGCGGGAGAGGACCACCATGGGGCGCGCTTGTATTTGGACGTGGGTTTGAGTCAAGCGCGAGCTCCCGTGCGTTACACGAGCGGGGACCGAACGAGGGCCCGAAAAGACGAACAGCGAGGACCAGAGAAGACACACGGCGGAGGAACAAACGACCGAGCGAACAACCGGGGCCCGAAAACCCGAGGGGACAATGCAAACGAATGGCAAGTGCAGCTTACGTAAGCAAGCATGAACCGTGCAATCGCAGGCTCGTAAATCCATGAGACCTGGGCCCTGCTGCGGATATGAGCCGCATGGGTCTTTCACCCAGCACCCACACCACCACATACTCCAAAGGCCGGCCATTCCCATATACAGAGGAGGCAGCAGAGGGCAAGCACTCGACCCTGACACATCGATGCCAGGTTCTACCACGGCTTGGCGGTCGGCGGTGTCCACGACAAGAGGCGACGAGGAGGCTAATCGACATGTCGGCGCGACGTGTCGGCGCGCCGTGTCTGCGCTCGCTCACGGCAGGGTGCACGAATACGAGCTCAGAGGCAAGCAAGCGCTGCCTTTTTATATCTCTTCGAGCCTGCGGGGCGCGGGCAGGAAAGGACTGAAACCATGCACGCACACGAATCAGGAGCCACCAGACTCCACACTGCTCAATCGGCCAGCTGGCACGAGAGGCCACATCCTCCTCAGCTTTGAGACCCTCCTCAGCTTTGAGAACCTCACGATTCTGAGAGAACCTCCTCAGCTTTGAGAACCTCCTCAGCTTTGTGAACCTTCTGAGAAGCTGGCACCTCCTCAGCTCTGAGAACCTGCACGGTTCTCCTCCGCCGACCTCCAGGCACACACTCTCTGACATCGGGGGGATTGGGATCACGCGGGGCGCGCCGCGCGGGCCCGAGGGAGGGGAGGGCGCGCCGACGAAGGGCGCCGCGGAGGAGGCGCGCGCGCCGTCCAACCCCCCACCCCGCACGTGTGGGGGCCAGGGGAGCTGGAGCTGGGAGGAGGGGGAGGAGGAGGACCAGAGTAACCGAGGAGGCGCCAGCGATGCTGCAATGTACCCTCTCGCCCCTAGCCCCCTCCTCATAATCACATGCATGCCTTACTTCTTCACCCCAAGAAGCGCACCCTCGAAAGATGAGAACCCTGTAAGCCCACCATTCAGGATAGAGCCCCGGTTTGAAAAGGAACTGTCTCGCACCCATCTAGCGACATATGAGGTATGCGTTAAGGTATGATCAGCAAATGCAGCGGCGTGCCCAAATGCAGCCCAAGTTGAAAGGCCCCACATCCGTCTAAGCCTTTCACACGTTTATAGCGATCGTAATTAACTATGACCATGTCTACAGCGAGAGCCCAGCTTGGAAAAAGAACCATCATCCATGTGCAGTTGGTACACATGTTCAACCTTCTGGCCGTCAAGACTGAAGAAACTTCAAGTGGCCACCTCTTGAAAGGAAGCCGCCCTCCATCCTTGAGAGTGCCCGAACGGTTAACATGAGTGAAGGCGGCGGCACAGCGAGATCCCACTGTTGTAAAAGAGCAGCCCTCCAGCCGTTCAACTGTCCAAGGTTTTCAAGACGAACGTGCGCGGCGATAGCGCGAGAAAGTGGATGCCAGACGCGGGAGCGCAAATGTGCCCACGACCCACTGGCGATCTCAATGATAACGGTGTTAATGTCCCTCTTTTGCTGCAGCGTGCAGAAGAAGGGTACGGAACGCCAGGGACTCGGTTGCAGAAACTGATTGCGCCAACCCAGGGCAGGTTGTCAAACAGGCGGGGGAGGGGGAAGAAGAGGAGCGACACTGGCCGTGAGGGGGCGGCGCGAGCAGGCCAAGCAGCAGCAGCAGACGGCGAGAGGAGAGTCCCAGGCTCCACCTGTCACAACGATCACTAAAAAGAGATCCGCCACCCCAACGGGGATAATGCAGTGCCGAAAATCGTGCATCTGAAGCACCATCAAACCAAGACTACAATGCGCGTAATCTGCACTACGGAGAAGACAAGGAAAAACAATGCATCACCCGCATAGCTACCCACGTAGACGGTTCGAGCAGGACAGCGCCTGAGATTGGAGCTGGAGCGGTGACCTGCGCCCGAAGGCCCAGAGCGCGGAGATTCAGCAATAAGCTTCGCTCAAGGTCGGCCGCCCGAAAGAATCTAGAACGTGCTGGGCGTCATACACCTCGCCAGCAACCAGCGCGAGAGGCCGGCGCTCCCGCGCGTGGGACACCACCGCTGCCAGCACGTGATCATAACAGGTTGCATCATCTACGGCAGCCCCGGCACTATGATGGAGCCAATCGGCACGACCCTCACCAGCAGGACGCGGCACAACACCAGTACAGAGGTCAGCATGACGCACACTCGTCATACTGGCGCCAAATAAGGATTCCGAACTTGCCGTCACGGACATGGCGGTGCTGCCCTCGCTGCGGTCGCTCATGGACTCTTCGATGAAGGTGCCATTCGCGTCGGCGGTGGAGCTGGTGTCTGGCAAACTGGCCCGAGCAGAGCCCGCCTGCCCAGCGGACTGGGCACGGCCAGATGGAGGGAGGGAGCGGGGGGGAAAGAGAGGGAGGGAGGGAGGGAGGGAGGGAGGGAGGGGAGGAGGGAGGGAGGGAGGCAAGAGGAGGAGGAGGAGAGGAGGAGGAGGAGGGGGGAGGAGGGAGGAGGAGAAGGAGGAAGAGAGAGAGAGGAGAGAGGAGGATGAGGAGGAGGAGAGGAAGAGGAGGAGGAGGAGCAGAGGAAGGAGGAGGGAGGAGGAGGGAGGAGGAAGAGGAGGAGGAGGAGGAGGAGAAGGCGGAAGAGGACGAGGACGAGGAGGAGGACGAAGACGAGGGGGAGGAGGACGAGGAGGACGGGGAGGAGGCGGGACGAGAACCTACTCTCGAAGGGACCCTGGGCTGCCAGAGGTGCCCCTGGCCCCCCAGGCGTCCCCGGCTCTTCGCGCCACGTCGTAGCCCCAGGGGGAGGAGGAGGAGGAGGAGGAGGAGGAGGAGGAGGAGGAGGAGGAGGAGGAGGAGGAGGAGGAGGAGGAGGGGCCCTCCGGGCCTCGTGAGAAGCGGTGCTCTCCGGAGGCCATCTGGGCACCCCCTCCCTGGGGACACCGGCCAGAGGGACACCTCTGTCGGGGGCGTCCAAGAGGGGGGCGTCCAAGAGGAGGGGGCGCAAATCATGACCGTCGGCATGTGTGCCGCCTGGTGGAGGGGCCAGGGACGTATTGAAATAAGAAGAGGCGCCATGAAATCTGGGGAGGTATCATGGCCCCCGCCATGAGATCCAACCCCCTAGTCATCACCCTCTTCTTGGCCGCTCCCGACTCTGGCAGCACCCGAGAGGGCTTCGCTGCCGAGCTCGCCTGTAACCGGTGACGTCTTTCGTCACGACCTCGTCCCCCGGCGCGGTCATGAAGCCCAGCGTGCGCCGCACCTCGAGCAGGAACTCTCGCGCGCTGCCGCCGCCGCGGTCGTCCCCGCCCCCGCCCCCGCCGCTGCCGTCCGTCGTCGCCGTCGCCGTCGCCGTCGCCGTCGTCCGGAGGTCTCTGCAGGTCTCCGGAGGTCCCTGCCGCCAGGGAGGCCCCAAAGAGGCCTCTGTGGGAACACGGGGGGCCACAAGAAGCGCTCAGGACCTTCGATCCTCCTCGTCCTTCCCTGAGGTGCGGCGTCACGAGAAAATTTCAGCACTGTGGAAGATCACGACTAGAGCCCTCGGACACATCTTTTTTCGGCGTTCCCCGAGCCGCATCGATCCGCGAGGGCCCCGGGGCCCCAAAAAAGGGTGACATCGCCTGGCGGGCAAGTTGCGACGCCAGAACCTCAGGGCCTAAAGCTCCGCGGGCCAGCGATAGGGGGGGACTGGCCGAGGGGGGAGAAGGAACACCGACGTGGAATCGGCGATACATCGTCGACAGATCGGCGATAGGCCCCCAATAGCGAAAGTGCACGCTCCTGGACGGGGCGGGCTATCTATCAGGCCCACATCAACAATTCATGGGTGATTGGGGGTCGATGCGTCCGCCCGATGCGTTCATTCCCCTCTAGCGTTGCTCCCGAAGCCCTGGCGCCTCGAGCAGCGCGAGCGCCGCGAGCCATCGTGCTGGCGGGAGGGGCGCCATCGGATCTGGCAGCGCTGCGCAGACGGATCGGGAGGACGCTGGGAATCCGCCTGCACCGACCCTCCCTGCCTCCCTCCTCCTCCTCCTCCTCCTCCACCTCCTCCTCCTCCACCTCCTCCTCCTCCTCTTCCTCCTCTCGGTCCTCCCCCTCTTCCACCCTGCCTTTCCTTATGGATAACTCCTCCCTGTCGCGTCCCAAGGTATGTCGATTGACGCGCCGGGCGTGTCGCCTGAGATTTCCTCACCGCGTACGAGCCTCAATCTGCAATTCTGTAAAAGCCTCACGCATGGAGGGCGGGTCGTTTTCAAAATGCGGTTCTCGCTTTACCGCCGCGCACACTCGTTTTCAACATGTGCAAGAGCCTACCGTCGAGTGCAGCCCGTACCCTACGCTGACCACCAAACCCACCGCCATCAAGAGCGGGAGGCTGCCGGAAATGAGGGGCCAGTACTCCCCGAGCGCGAGTCTCCCAACCGTAACGACCGCTCCTCCGATGAGCCTTCCACCTCCTGCCTACAGTTGTTGCCATCCGTCAGTGTTCCTCGTACAGAGGTAGCCACCAAGCCAACTGCCGATAAACGTGAACTGCACGTGCTGGAGCTCCACCATCCCTGTCCGGCCTCGTCCTCCTCCGCGTCGCTCTGCCCCGGCGATGGTTCACAATCAGGACATCTCCTCGCGGCAGCCTCGCGGCGGCGGGCCCCGCTCGACGGAACCTCGAGCTCCTCGTCCCCTCGTGGTTGCGGCGGCGGGCTCGCCCTGCCCTTGACACTCGCTGGCTTCACGTGCGGGGGTTTGGGCGGAACTCGGCCTTTGCCCGCACCTGGTCGTCCTTAGCCACTGCACGCCTCCTGGGGGCCCTCCGCCTGTGCCGGCGTCGCGATCCCCTTCGGCTCCGCGCCTCCTTCTGCCAGCCGGTGGTCCCAGGCCGGCTGGACCGCTGGCGTTGCTGCCTCCGCCCGCGAAGGCCAACGCCCGATCCCTGCCGCCGCCAGTGCGCCCGGCACCATCGGCAAGGCCGGCGAGCTGCGCTGCGCAGCTCGCCAGCCCTCCGAGCCTGCGCTGCGTTCCAGCGGCACGCCCCCCGCGCTGCCCGTCGCGAGGCGCTGGCGCCGCGGCGGGCAGCGCGGCGCCAGCGCCACGCGGCCAGCGGCCCGCCGATCCGCCGCCTCCCTGCCTGGCCGTGGACCAGGCGGCGGCCGCCCAGCGAGGTGGCGGCGCGGGCTGCGCGGCTCCCCACGAGCCGCCCCCATGGGGGCCGGCCGGGCACCTGGGGCCTCTCGGGCCCCAAAGAAGCCGGGAGCCCAAGTGGGCCGCGGGAGGGACGAGGCGGAGGAGGCAGGAGAGGAAAGCACGGGCACCCCCAGCCCGTCCTGGCCACTTAAAACCTTACGTTCCGCTACGCCCGAATTCCGACTCCTTGTAGGGGCCTGTAAAGAGGGAACTTGAAGAGAGGGGTTATTGCAACACTGTTGATGAGTCCTGGCCTCCTCCTCCTCCTGCTCCTCCTGCTCCTCCTCCTCCTCCTCCTCCTCCTCCTCCTCCTCCTCCTCCTCCTCCTCCTCCTCCTCCTCCTCCTCCTCCTCCTCCTCCTCGTCCGAGGGAGCAGGATGCTTCTCTCTGGCGGGTTGTATGAGGTTCTCGGGAGTTCTGAGGGAGCCATGGTGGTGCTGGGGGAACATCCGCCAATCCATATCACACTCCTGTTCCCCCTCCTCCTCTATTCTTTTCTTTATATCTACCTCCTCCCTGTCGCACCCTCAAACCAATCGAAATGGCGGGCCGGGCGTTTCGCCTGAGACTCCCTCGCAACTGATTATCCTGAAGCCTGAAATTTGCAAGAGCTTCACGGATGGAAGGCGGTCCTCTTTCCAAATGTGGTTCTTGCCCTAGCGCCGCGCACACTCGTCTGAAACATTTGCCAAGAGCTTCACGGATGGAGGGCGGTCCGTTTTCAAAGTGTGGCTCTCGCCTTAGCGCCGCGCACACTCGTTTTGAATGTCTACAATAGCTTCACGGATTCTCGTGGTAATGCAACAAGAAACTATAATGTTGTCACGATGTCGGAACGTCAGGGCGCAATTGCCATTTTGATTCGCGGTGTTGAGGTCCTAGGAATGGTGTTCTGGTGCGACTAAGGGTCGTAAAGACGCAACAGTAGCGGTGCTTCGCGGTGTTGAAGACCCAGCAATGGCCTTCAGGTACAATTCTGGGTGTTCAAACGGTTGTTTTCCAACGGGGTTTTCCCACAATGGAAATGAATCCGTGAAGGACATTGCTGAGGGAGCTTGGATGGAACGTATATTGCAATAGCATTGATGGGCCTTGGGCTTACACTGGTCCTCCTCCTCCTCCTTCTCCTCCTCATGCTCCTGCTCCTGCTCCTGCTCCTGCTCCTCCTCCTACTCCTCCTCTCCTCCTCCTCCTCCTCCTCCTCCTCCTCCTCCTCCTCTCCTCCTCCTCCTCCTCCTCCTTTTCCTCCTCCTCCTCCTCCTCCTCCTCCTCTCCTCCTCCTCCTCTTCCTCCCTCCTCCTCCTCCTCCTCCTCCTCCGCCCCCCCCCTCCTCCTCCTCCTCCTCCTCCTCCTCCTCCTCCTCCTCCTCCTCCTCCTCCTCCTCCTCCTCCTCCTCCTCCCTCCTCCTCCTCCTCCTCCCTCCTCCTCCTCCTCCTCCTCCTCCTCCTCCCCTCCTCCTCCTCCTCCTCCTCCTCCTCCTCCTCCTCCTCCTCCTCCTCCTCCTCCTCCCTCAAGCCACTTGGGCTCGAGCACCAAGTCCTCCGCCCCGACGGAGGCCCGTGTTCTAGTCCATCCCAGTGCCTTCGTGCGGCGCTTGAGGGATATCTTCACCTGTCTGTCCCCCACATTCAGTTGAGGATAACGAGAGCTGGGAAAATTCATTGCATCAATATGGGCAAGCCGCAGAATGTGCAGTCTCAACGTGCATGGTCGCGGTGCGGCCACTGCAAGACATGTGAGTACAACGATCGCTTGCAGATGAGCGACAATCGGTGCCCACGCTGTTCTCACAAAGTTCGGTTATTCGTTCACAAGCCCAGTCGGTCGAGGTCTCCCAGTTCGGAACGAGGTGATCGGCACGTGCACTTCGAGGACGACAAGGTGGGCACCCCGCGCGGCGGTCGCCGTGGCGGCCAGGGTGGCAAGGCCACTCAGCAGCAGGAGATCGCGGCGCTGCTGGGGCAGGCGTTGGCCCAGTCAGCCGATGCCGAGCTCAAGGCAGTGCTGAGGGCGCAGAGGGAGCGACTCGCCAGCCAGGCGGCCGCCTCGGCTCCCTCGGACGTCGACCAGGTCAAGCAGGCCGATGGGGCGCTCAAGGCGGCGACCAACAGGCACGGTCAGCTCGTGGAGCAGGTCATGCGCCTGCGCAAGCAGCTGGCCACGGCCGAGCAGAAGGAGCAGAGCGCGGCTCTGGAGGTGGCCAAGTGCGAGGCCACCAAGAAGGCGGCCACAGCAGCACTCGCCAAGGGTGCTGGCTTCCGCCCGACGCCCAAGGAGGCCGACTCGGAGGCTGCGTGTTTCGGGCTCAATCTCAACGAGGAACTCTTCGCCTCTTTCGAGCAGTGGGACTGCGACGAGACGGAGAAGGCTAAGCTCAGGGCTCTCAAGGAGGAGCTCGAGGCCTATCGGACCACCATCCAGGCGAAGGACGCGGAGTGGAAGTCTTTCGTCGATCGTGTCAAGGGCGAGCAGAAGGCGGTGCAGGAGCGCATGGCCAAGAAGCGCCGCGGGGCCGACGGCGCCGCTGCGGGCGCTGGCGACGGCGGCGGCATCGGCACCGCAGCCGCGGGCGCGGGCGAGGCCGCCGCGCCCCCTGCGGCAGCTGGCGGTGGCGCAGCCGCCGCCGAGACCACCCAGGCCGACGACGAGGCGCTCAAGAAGGAGGCTGAGCGTTTGTCGAGGGCGCGCTTCGCGGCGCAGGAGGCTGCCGCCAAGGAGAAGGAGGCTGCCGCCCAGGCCGCCAAGCAAAGCGGCGACGGGGTGGCCGCCTCGTGACTAGGTTCCACAACTACTACGAGGGCGTCTTCGCAGGCGCCAGGGGCTTCCAGTATGACGGGTACTGGTACCACAACTTCGGGGTTTGAGGAGTGCAGTACGTCCGTGGCGACATCCACTGCGTCTCCGCCTGCAGCCACCACTTCGACGTCGACAACGGCTACGAGTGATGCTGCTCGGTCATCCTTCCTCTGCTTTGCGAACGTGAGCTGCATGGGCGATAAGGCTTGGGGGCACATCCGTCTCTTGCAGCGCTCGTCGTATGATTGTATGTCACTTTGGTGAAACACACACTTTGCCAGGAGCAGTTGTGGGTTGGAAAAAGAAGGCCAAGCAATGTTCGCTCAAGCTTCTAGTCAATCCAGCTAGGCCAAAGGCCAAGCTCAGTCAGCAGAGTTGCGAAGGAGGGGAATTCTTCCATGCTAAGAATCACTTGCCTGTTCAGGTGTTGGACGCTGCGAAGTCAGCGCGCGGATTGCGAGCAGATCGCGGTTCGGCTTTTGACGGGTTTCTTCCAGTGGTCCTGCACCTAAAAGGGTTCTCCCTGGTCTATATCGTGTTCTACGGACACTCGTCTATAGGTTTTCGGGATCAGAATGTTTCACGGTTTCGTAAGCTTGCCAGTTTAGTCGCCAGTCTGCAGTTGCCCTGGGTCATTGCAGCAGATTGGAATTTTAGCCCCTGCGCCCTGGTAAAAACCGGTTTTCTGGAGCGCACTGGGGGGCTGATTTTGTGTAGCAATGCCGATTTCACTTGCACCCCTGGGGGGGATCAGAAGCCATCTCACCTCGACTATCTGGTGGTATGTCCTTCAGCTAGGGCGCACATTCGGGCTGTCACTGCTGTTTGTGCCGTCCCATGGAAACCACATCGGATTGTGCATCGAGTTAGTGTCGACTGGCAGTCAACTTTTCACCCGCTTTCTCGAGCTCCCCCCGAGGCTCCCCCGAGTCTCCAGGCCGTCGAAGCAGGCGGTCGAGGGGTCCAACAA